AGGCTCAGCATTCACTCAAGAATATTTCCAACATTTTCTCACTATCTGTCTTACTATCTTACTGTCTTACTGTCTCAGAGAAGCAGCTCCTCATCAGACTATTGTGTGGTATTGTTGACAATCATCTAATCTTATTCCCTACAACATATGATTCATAGAATTTTGGAACATCTAAAATACATGCTTTTCTTATAATAACAGAATGATGTGCCTAGGCTCTATACCATTGCACAGAGTTTGTCACTTATTCCAGGAAGTAGAAGGGATGGAAACTCTATAGATGGGCATAATTTCACCTGCAATGCACAGGCAGTCATTGCCCTCTGCCCTATCAGGGAGTTTGCAAGGGAAATGAACCTTCAGAATCATCCCAGTTGTCATGGGATCCAGGTCTTTAAACTGTGTCATTTAGTCATCAATGCAGTCTTGGACATGCTAAGAAATCTTGACTGAAGCATTTGCAGAATGGGAAGAAAGGACAAGGCTGTCTGGCAGTGGCCCACTGAGATACTAGCAGCATACTTGATCGGATATTTACTTTGAGAAATATATTTATATGTATACATTTTCTATATTATGTCTTCCATAATATTTAATTAATAATTAATCATTACTTGATTAATACGTATTTTATATGTTATAGTATAATTTATATTGCATAAATTTATAAAATTATTTATTTAATATGGTACTAAATATATATATTATAAATCACATTTACTTATATATACTATAATGTAAATTATTCAATAATAAATGCAAATAATATATCAGTATCATTATCTTATTTATTTATATTATAAAATATATAAATGTCATTATATATTAAATAATACATATAACATAAATTAACTATTATATATATTTATGTGCTTATAAACATAACTATATATACATATTTATTATGGTATTACGGATGTTGGCTCTCAATTCTGTTGAATAAAATTGCAAATTAATGTAAAAGTGTTACAAGTTAATTCTGCATTTGTAACAATATGTTGAGATAAGAAAAGTAGGGTTTCTAACAAAGTTAAAAGTCACCTGGTCATTATAGTCTCCCTCTTTACGGAATATGCATGAAAGAGTCAGAAATTTGATTCAGGAAATACACTACCTTTGATTTACTCCAGAAACTCTGTGCAAAGGAAAGGACACATGGGCACATCGATGGAAACAAAACTATGGATGAGATTCCTCAAGGTGACTTTCATTACCTTGATCCCCCAGAGAGTTGACCAAAGGGTTCAGCATTTGAAGGACTGGAATAAACATCATGGAAACCATTGCAATCTTTTTTTTTTTGGGGGGGGGGGTCTGGTCGTGGAGCCTGAACTCTGGGCCTAGGCGCTGTCCCTCAGCTCTTCAGCTCAAGGCTAGCCACAGCTCCACTTCCGGCTTTTTTCTTTTTGCTTATGTGGTGCTGAGGAATCAAACCCAGGGCCTCAGGCATGCACGGCAAGCATTGTACCACTGAGCCACCTTCCCAGCCCCCATTGCAATCTTTTAAAGTCAGTCAGTAAATGCCGAACTAATGTACATCCCAAAAAATTTATCCCCTAGGACAAGGAGGTGGCAGACCGGTGAAACACAGAGGTGCAAAAGTTTTCACTTGATTCTGAAGATGGAACTCTCAAAACACAGGACACAATGCAAATAGAAGGGAGAAGTATTCCAGAAGGAAGAAAGCCTTCACGTATCCAAGATAAAATAATTTCTCATGGTATTCTTTGTCAGATCAATTTCCTTTTATTCATTCATTCATTCACTTATTCATTCACTCAACCATTCATTGTCAGTTTGAGACCAGAACTCAAAAATTCAGTACCTGCTGCTTTCACTCATTGGCTAGCACTCTACCAACAGGGCCACACTTCTTTTTATTGTTAATTTGCTTTTTGAAATTATTTTGAAGTAGTTGAACAAAGAGGTTTCCGTTAAACATGGCAGTTGGTGGGTACAATGCATTTTGATCAGTGTTAACCCTTTCCCCATCTTAACCCATTCTCCCCCATCTCTCCCAAACCCACACATCCCCCACTAGTTACCTGATTCAAATTTTCGTATTTTTAAATTCAGTAGCATAATTTGGGATCTTAATAGTACTTTTTGTACATTGCTAGGTATTAATCAGTTCCATCAACTGTTGGTTTTGTTACAAAATTTCTTTTTTCATTTCCTTAGTTTCACATAGCAATCAACCCCTAACACATTTTAGTTATGATCAGATTCATAAGGTATGAATATAAGCAATTATGGAAAAAACTTCATGGCAGAACATACATTGTTCTAGCAATAATAGCTTTGACCAACTATATTATCTGAAAATTGCTATCAGATATGAGTGGTTTAAGATCATTATGCTATCTTTGACATACATGGGAAAAACATATTTTCACTTTCAATAAGAAAAAGAAAATTCTTCAGGAGGCTGAGATCTGAGGATCATGATTTGAAACCAGCCCAAGGAGAAACATCTGGGACACTCTAAGCTCCAATTAACCTCTTAAAATTCAGAAGTGGAGCTATGTTTCAAGTAGTAGGCTGCTAGCCTTAAGTGAAAATAAAGTCAAGCTCAAGGATAGATCCCAGGCTGCAAGATTGGCAAATGATGCTGATGCTGATGCTGATTCTGATGCTGATTAAGATGATGATGATGATATTAAAAATAATAATAAATTGGAGTGAGGGTCTTTTCTTCCTTCATCTCTCATTCCTATCTCCCTCACTCTTTCCCCCTCCCTCATTTCCTTCCTTCCTTCCTTCCTTCCTTCCTTCCTTCTCCTTCCTTCCTTCCTTCTCCTTCCTTCTTTCCTTCATTTTCACTTCGTTTTTGTCAATACTATGATGGAACTCAGGACCTGAGAACTGTGTAAAATGTCCAGAGTCCTGTATAATTTATCATATGCAAGTGTATTTTTTGTGTTTTACCATCCAGTGTGTTTACCTGTAGATTTAAAGGCACATTCTAATTTCCACAAATGAGGGAAATCATATCAATACCAAACTTCAAACACTATTACAAAGCTGTAGTAATAAAAAAAAATTCTTAGTACTGGTAGAAGAAGAGTCCCGAGGACCAATGGAATAGAATAGATGACCCAGAAATGATCCCACAGACCTTTAGCCACATAACATTTGATAAGGGAACAAAAATTATAGGATAGAAGCATGACAACTTCTTCAAACACTGAGGCTAGCAGAACTGGTTATAAACATGCAGAAAACTTAAGGCATGTTCTTATATATCCCCCTGCACCAGAATCAATTCTAAATGGATCAAAGACCTCAATGTAAGGCCAGATATCACAGAACTATTACAAGAAGGGGTAGAGCTTCTAGGCACAGGTTGAAACTTCCTAAGTAAGGATACAGAATCATAATAAATCAAAGTAAGACTAGATAAATGGAATTTCATCAAGTCAAAGAGCTTCAGCATGGGAAATTACTTAGCTAATAAGATAAATAAAAAATCCACAGGTTGGGAAAAGATCGTTACTAGCTATGCGTCAGACAAGGACGCTATACATAAAGTATACTTACAGCTCAAAATTAACCCCCCTCCAAACAAACCATCAGATAACAACAATCCAATTAATAAGTATGCTAAAGACTTAAAGGGAGACTTCTCACAAGAAGAATGGCCACTAAATGTAAAGAAATGTTCGACATCTCTGGCCATAAAGGAAATGCAAATCAAAACATTGAGATTCCTGCACCAGACAAATAGAACAAGAAAATGTGGCATATATACATAATGGAATTCTATGTTTCCATCAGAATGATATTGCACCATTCGTAAGAACATGGAAAGGCTTGGAAAAACTTATAGTAAGCAAAGTAAGCCAGACACAAGAAACATAAATCACTTCCCTTGAATCTCAGACCTTATGCATGCTAGGCAAAGACTGCACCACTGAGCTAAGTCCTCAGCTTACCTGGCTCACATTTTGAAGACAGATATCTGAGAGACACCTCAGTTGCTTAAGCAAACTATCAAATTTCCTAACAAGTGATTCAAAATAAATAACTGTGTACTGTATAAACCACACATCAACTTGGAAGATTAAAGGAAATGGAAAGCAGACATTACTGACACAGGTAATTTCCATCTCCAACACAGGACTAAGGAAGAAAAGATTTACAGTTCTCCTTAAAGTATATATTACAAAGGTGAAAAATATGACAACATATTTTAGTCACAATATAGGGCAAACTGTTTATATTCTGTGTGAAAACTATTGAAAGATAATAATACAGCTTTTTAAAATTCCAAAATAAAATCATTTTAAATTGAAAAAACAAACAAAAAACCCACTTAGTGCTGTGTACCAATAGTTCAGACCTGTAATCCTAGTTACTCAGGAGGTTGTGATTTGAGGATGGCAGTTCAAAGCCAGCCCAGTTAATTACCACAAAACTGAAAGTAGAGCTCTGACTCAAGTGGTAGAGAACAAGCCTTGAGCAAATACAGCTCAGAGACTGCATCCAGACCCCGAGTTCAAGCCCCAGGACACCACACACACACACACACACACACACACACACACACACACACACACACACACACACACACACATACACAAACTACTGTCTAAACTTCATTAAATTCCTACAACTTGGAAATCAGAAGAAGAAAATTTGGCTGCCTCATTAGGTAAAAAATGCCAAATCCTTCTTGGAATTAATTTTCTTCCTTTCCTTCTCCATGGGATTAGTGAGTCTTTAGCAATTAGAATACATGAGCCAACTTGACTAATGATCAGCTATGAGCATTGAGATTCCAGGTCAGCTGGTTATAAGAACCCATTCTGCATCCCAGCCCTACACCTGGCTCCTTGTAGCCCTATGGTCTGTGTGGTAATGGTGCTTCTTCGAGGCTCACCAGTGGAACAAGAGGACTTCCCTGTGGTTGTGTCTTCCTGCCAGCTCTGAGCACTTAGCCGAACATCTCACAGGAAGTATGGAATAAAATGACTAAGTATCCTTTGGTCTCCTCCCAAAAAAGACCCAGTGCAGCCCAGTAACTGCTCCTAGATACTAAATGGAGGAGGAGAGCAGTGACCTGGCTTGTTCACCATGCTGAGAGCATAGCTAGAGTAGCTAGATGGGAGGGTTACCAGGAGGCACAGTTTATCTCACAGCCCTAGGACATTTGTATTCTGACTTATAGTATTAGTGGGAGGACTACTGTTGTGTTTGCCTTCCATACTTGTTCCAAGTCATCAAAGAATACACCAGAGCAGGATGCAGGAATTCTGTCATGTCTCTACCCCCCAAAGTAATTATGGTGATGGTGATGACCTTCACTATGATGTAATAAATCTTTTCCTAGGCCTTCCAAGTCCAGACTCTCAGCTCACTTTCTTCATGGAGCAATTAAAACAAAATCTATGTCACTACACATTTTCTCCATAAGGAAAATCTACACACTTTATCATCATGACACATTTTATCATCATGACACATTTTAGGATAGGAGAATGAAGTGTGTGTGTGTGTGTGTGTGTGTGTGTGTGTGTGTGTGTGTGTGTGTGTGTGTGTGTGTGTGCTGCTCTTAGGATTACAACTTAAGCCCAGGGCACTGTCCCTACACTTTTTAAATATATTGTTATGGTTATTATAAAGGTTATTTGCAGAGGGGTTGCAGTTACATAAGTCAGGTAAAGAGTACACTTTTTTTGGACAGTGTCACCCTCTCCTTCATTCCTGACCTTTTACACTCAAGCATGGCATTCTACCACTTGAGCCACAGCCCCACTTCCAGATCTTTGCCAGTTAATTGGAGATAAGAGCCCCAGGCACTTTGCTGCCTAGGCTGGCTTTGAACCATGATCTTCACATCATGTATGAGCCATCAGTGCCCAGGTGAGAATTGAATTTTTCACAATTTTTATTGTTGTTTTGATATTCAGTAGATGCAGTTAGGATTAAATCTAGACAATAAGATTCCCCTCTGCACCACCACAGGGCACCTGTCTCTTTCCTACCAAGCCAATATGATATTTCTGTTCTTGTTGCCCTGGGCAATAGTGATCTTTCTGTCTTTCCCTTTTGGTGTTTCCTATACCACAGAGGAGATCTGTGGGTGTCCTTGCTGTAGCCGCTGCAGGAAGCATGGCTGATATTACAGGTGGAGCCACAGAAAGTGTTAGCACTGGAGAGTTCAGCGCACCTGCATTTCTGCCCATTGCTCTGAGATTTTTGCTTCTTTGTCTCACAGTCTTCTTCACCCTGTGATATCAACCCAGGCCCATCTCTGAGGGAACTCTGTTGGGTGTTACTCTGAGCAGACAACAGAAAAGAATTATCTAAATATAGTGTACTTTAGGAAATTGGAGTACAAATTCTAGCCCTCTGCTTTTAAACTTCTGTACTTTAGTGAAGCATTGAACAAGTCACTTGGTTGGACCTCAAAGGCCCAGGATTCCATTTTGAGTGTTTCTGTGATCTATGTCACCTGTGGGTCCCTGGGCAAGTTTTTTATGTGGTAATGTAAATTGTCTCTGCTTGTTCCAAGTACACTGAGCTTCAACTGAAAAATCATGACACTGCATATGACTAAACATGAGAGATTCAGATAATTTGGAAATATAAATATTAGAAATTATTGTTATTAATACACTAGGTAGAATAAGTCATATCCTTCAACTAATATTTCCTGTCATCTGCATGTTTATGTTTCCCTATATTGCTGAAAGTTTTTATTATTTTGTTGCTATTATTATTATTATTGCTTTGTCATTTTTTCCTCCTGCTATTTTTATTTTTTAACTGTTTTAGAATTTCAGAGTTAGGAGATTTTATTAAGTGGCAGAGTCAGGCCATGGGTAAATAACATTTCAATCAATTTCCTGCCATCTTCCTGGTATGTATATTTGCCTTAGGTTATATAGGGATAATCGGGGATCAGGAGTGGAAAGGTACTCATAGATAAAATAGTCCCAAGTCACAGGTGTTGTCCAGATGTGGTCAGAGGTATCATCAGGTGATCTGACAGTCTGTTTTCTCAGGATCTGTTTTGTGGTGTCTAATACAATAAGAGTCATGGGCAGAACAGAGTGTTGGTGGCTCATCCCTGTAATCCTAGGTACTCAGGAGACTGAGATCTGAGGATCATGGTGTAAAGCCATCCCAGACAGGACAGTATGTGAGGTGCTCATCTCCATTTAACCATCAAAAAGCCAGAAGTGGAACTGTGGCTCAAGTGGTAGAGTGCCAGCCTTGAGCAAAAAAAGGGTCAGGGACAGTACCTAGGATCTGAGTTCAATCCCAGGTCTGACATAAAAAAAATAAAAAAGGCCTGTACTTTATTGAGTTTCTGGAAGGTGGTCACCAGTGACTTGTTTGGATCCTGAAAAATTCCCCTCTTGTTTGAACCAATTTTTCTCTGAATTGTTTGTCTCTGTGGTTTTTTCCGGCATATTTATCAATTAACTCCTGTGGTTCCTGGAAGTCCATTGTCCCAGAGATCGGCATGTTCTAAGACGCTCTGGTCTTGACCCTTGTCAGGAGAGAAGGATATATAGGGCAGATAGCCATCAATGCCAATAGTCTTTTGTCCCAATTCATTTTATGAACATATTGGGGCTTGATCTCAGGTCACTGTCCTGAACTTTCTTTCTCAAAGCCGGTGCTCTACCACTTGATCTGAAGCTCCCCTTCTTCCTTCCTTCCTTCCTTCCTTCCCTCCTTCCTTCCTTCTTTTTCTTTCCCTATTTCTCTCTCTCTTTCTTCTTTTGTTGGTTCATTGGAAATACAAGCCTCACAGTGTTTCCTGCCTGAAGTGACTTTAAACTACTATCCTCAGATCTCAATCTTCTGAGTACCAAGGATTACCACCAACCTCCAGCTTGGAAAAAATATTGCATATTCCATGGATTCCCTCTAAAGATAGAGAGTAGATATTTTCTTGTGTTCTATACACTGGATGTCTCATAATGTTCTTTAGCCTAAGGACTCTAAAGGGAATGATGTGAAAGCATTGACATGGAGTAGAAACTCAATGAAAAGGGAGTTGTAAGAGTCAGTGCCGCAGGGGGGGGGGGGAGGAGAAAGATTGGGATTGGGGGGGAGGGGGGAGGCTGGGAAGGGATGTGAAAGGTAAACCAAAGGAGGAGGCTGCAATGCTTGGTAAGAAATGTACGCATTATCCTGCCCATGTAATTGTAACCCCTCTGTACAGTATGTTCACAAATAAAATTAAATTAAATTTAAAAAAAAGAGTCAGGTAGAATGAAGAGATAATGGAAGATACAAGGTTCTAATCTCTTTGCATCAACACAATGAATTCCCACATTCAGAGAAATTTTATACTTTATAGTTATTCCTACCTTTTCCTACCCTTTCATCCTTTCCTCCTCCTTTTCTTCTTTCTTTCTTCCATCCTTTCCTCCTCCTTTTCTTCTTTCTTTCTTTGTTTCTCTTCGTTCCTTCCTTCCTTCCCTCCTTCCTTCCTTCCTCCCTCTCTGGTTTCCTTTTCCTTTCTTATCCCTCCCTCTCTTCTTCCCTCCCTCCTTTTGTCCTTTCCTTCTTCCTCATTCTCCTTTCCTCCCTTTCTTCCTTTCCTTCCTTCCTATTTCCTTCCCTCCCTCCTTTGTTTATTCCTTCCTCCTTTCTTTCTTTCCTCCTTCCCTTGCTCCCTCGTTCTTGACCTCCCTTCCTTTTCTTTCTCCTTTTCTTCCATCTTTTCTTCCTTTCCTTCCTTCATTCCTTCATTCTTCCCTACCTCCTTCCCTTCCTCTCTCCTTCTTTCCCTTCATTCCTTCCCTTTCTCTTTTGCCTTTCTTTCCTTCCTCTGCCCTCTTTCTCTCCCTTTTCCTTTCTTTCTCCCTCTTTCTCTTCTTTCCTTCCTTCCTCTCACCTTCCATTTCTTCCTTTTTTTCCTCCTCTTCCCTTTCTTCCTTTCCTCACTTTCTGCCTTCCTTCCCTTTCTTCCTTTTGTCACTTTCTTCCTCCCTCCTTCCTTTCCCCTTTGCTTCCTTCTCCCCTTGTTCTTCTCCTTCCTTCCATGCATTACTGGAAATTTTCCCCAGGGTCTCAGACATGCTGGATAAGCTGTGAGCCACTGAGAAACACTTCCATTTCTGAAAGAATACACAAATCAACCACACATGCAGTTACCAATGCCATATGAATTTCTGGAAGAAAAAAAATAAACCTGACATTAATTATTCACTGCTTAAATATAAGTAGACTTTTTAGCTGAATGAATGAAAAATGCAGGTAATTTGCTAATGACATGCATAGTACTATACTACTTTACTTATGCCATAACCTCTTTTGTTCAAAAGGTGTTCTAGCTACATGGAACCACAGAACTTAACAAGTGTCTTAGAATTTCTCCTTCTGGGACTGTCAGATGATCCAGACTTGCAGCCTGTCCTCTTTGTGGTGTTCCTGTTCATATACCTGATCACAGTGCTCGGGAATCTGCTCATCATCATGGCTGTCACCTCTGACTTCCACCTCCACACCCCCATGTACTTCTTCCTCTCCAACCTGTCATTAGCTGACATTGGATTCAGCAGCAGCACCGTCCCCAAGATGCTGGCAAACCTCCAGACTCAGAGCAAATCTATTAGCTATGCTGGCTGCCTAATGCAGGTGGGCCTTTTTGCTTTGTTCGGTTCCTTTGACAGTCTACTCTTGACAGTGATGGCCTATGACCGCTTGGTGGCCATCTGTCATCCTCTTCACTACTCAATCATCATGAACCCCCGCCTCTGTGGCATACTGGTCCTTCTGTCATTGTCAATCAGCCTTTTGAATTCCTTGGTGCACTGCTTGATGGTGTCACAATTTAACTTCTGTGCAGTCATAGAAATTCCTAATTTCTTCTGTGACCCTCCTCGGCTCCTTAAGCTTGCGTGTGATTATACTTCAACTACTAATATATTCATCTTTTTCCATGCTTCAGTCTTTGGTGGTCTTCAAGTCTCTGGAATCCTGTATTCTTATGTTCGCATTGTTTCTTCTATTCTTAGAGTCCCATCAGCTAGTGGGAAATACAAAGCCTTCTCCACCTGTGGCTCTCACCTGTCCATCGTGTGTTTGTTTTATGGGACGGCCATTGGGGTGTACTGTAGTTCAGTTCTTTCAGTTGCCCCCAGGAAGGTGGTGGTGTTCTCCATGATGTATACTATGGTCACCCCCATGCTGAACCCTTTCATCTACAGTTTGAGGAACAGAGACATCAAGACAGCCCTTCAGAGGCTAGTGAAAATGACAGCCTAATATATGTGTGTGTGTGTATACACACATATACATGTGCGTATACACACACATATACATACATACATACATATATATACATACATACATACTTAGGTTATGTTATCTGGGTTTGTAAATCATGAAATTCTACAAAACCAAGCACTTAAAATTGGAAGCACACTTGTGAGTTTCAGCAATTCTGATGATGATGACAATGGTGTTTCATCTGTAAACATCACTTCATTTGAGAACTTCTATAGTTTGGGTCTTCAATGTTACCTGGAATCTATCAAGTTCAAGACATGTTCTACTTTCTGGTATCCTGGGATGGTGAAAGCTTTGAAGATGGAGCCTTATAGGAGGAAGTTAGGTCATTGGTGGTATGACCATAAAGAGAGCACAGTGAGACCCTGTACCTTCCTCATTCTCATGATATTACCAGTCATCTTCTTTCACTATTCCTCTTAATTTCTCCTTCCTCCTTCCCTTCCTTCCTCCCTTCCTTCCTTCCTTCCTTCCTTCCATCCTTCCTTCCTTCCTTTTCTTTCTTCCTCACTTTTTCCTTCTTTCTTTCTTTCTTCCTTCCTTCCTTCCTTCCTTCCTTCCTTTCTTTCTTTCCTCTTTCTACCTTTCTTTCTACATTTCTTTCTTTCTTTCCCTTCCTCTCTGCCTTCCTCCCTTTTCTTCTTTTCCTTTCTTTCCTTCTTTCTTTCCTTTCCTTCTCTTTACTTCTTGGTTGGCTTTTATTTGTATTCCTTCAGATTTAAGCCTTGTGAATAGCTAGGATTACAAACTGAGTCACCAATGCTCAGAGTTCTTTCTGATTAATATTTTTTCCCCAAAATGCTTTCCTGTTCTTTATGCTGTCCATTTTTCCTTTCCTGCTCCAAACACCTTTCTCTATTACTCTGTGATCTGAATCACAGGAAGGGTCAGATTTTTCCATTTAGCCATTTGTCATTCTTTCACTAGTGGTCACTCACCATCACCCTTTATTTATTTATCCCATTATGCCCTTTAATGGTGTGGTTGCTATTTCCTATTGGTGATTCTATCTTTTCATATATATATATATATGTATGTACACACACACACACACATATATATGGTGATGAACAGGGGGTTACAATCATATAAGTAAGGTAATGAGTACATTTAATTTTGTTTTTGTTTTTAGTACATATTTTTATTGTAAAGATACTGTACAGAGGGGTTACAGTTACATGGGTAGGGTAATGAGTATATTTCTTATCGAGCATTGTTACCTCCTCCTTTGTTTTCCCCAACCATCCCTTCCCTCCACACCTCCTCAATTCCTCCCTCCCCCCCCCAAGTTGTAAAGTTGATTTTCAACATAGTGTCTCATACATCTTATTATTACAATGTATCAACCTATATCCTTATTTCAGCAATTTGTTATTTCCCCTCCCCTCCCCAAATGAGGCAAATGAAATACAAGATGCAGGACACCAGAATCAAATACTGTTAAAACAGGGGTTATACCATGAGAGGAAAACATTCAACAAATCATAGTACATTGTAAATGCAATAGAAACAACAGCAAGAAAGATAAAACCTCGTGTCCCTATCTTGGAGTTCATTTTGCTTAGCATCATCTTATATGGTCATATGTACATAGTTTTTTACCTTTTCTGATTGTCCTAGATATATACTAGTTATTGAAAATAAGGGAAACCATGGGACCTATGTTTCTTTGTGCCTGGCTTACTTCACTTAATACAATTTTTTCCAAGTCTTTCCATTTCCTAACAAATGAGGTGATGTCATTCTTTCTGATGGATGCATAGAATTTTGAAGTTACTTCCTCCCTTGTTTTCTCCCACTAACCACTCCCCATTCCCCTCCGCCCCAAATTGTAAAGTTCACTTCCAACATAGTGTCTAGTGAGTATCATTGCTGTATTAGTTCATCCTTTGTCCTGGTCTTTATGTGATGCTCTTTCCCTTCCACAGATCAGATAAACTTATATATAAGACAAAGGGTACAGAAAACTAAAGCAAAAAATTCAGGGATACTGCAAACAGAACATAATAATGACCTCTTGTTTCCAATTCTTGAAGTTCATTTTGATAGGCTTCATTATATATGGTCCTATGCACTTAGTGATTGGTCTATTGTGATCCTCTGATAAGAATATCATAGACATATTCTAATTATTACAAATGAAGGAAACCATGAAACTACATTTTAAGCCCAAAGAAATATTGGTTATAATTTTCATCTTTCAACCATTACCAATGAAATAATCTACAGAGCAACAATTGCGTGAACATTACTAATATGCTTTTCTCTTTTCTTGATCAATACATCAGTAAATGGTTACTTGAGGAATGAAGGCATTTTGTCAACCTGTATGGTCAAATGTGCTCAGAGAGCAAAGGTCATCACCAAATATAGGCTACAGTAGCCTACCTTCAAGTACTGTGTGGCTATAATTGTGCCTGTGAATCACCTAAGGGATTATAAATAAATTTTATTGTGCCTGTGGATTGCCCAAGTCCTCATAAATGTAGCATTATCCTGTTTTCATTTTCCAATGAGAATAAAAGATCATGTCATTTCTTAACAAAAGCTCTTCTTCTTTTCTCTACTCTTTCCTTTCCTTTCCCTTCCCTTCTCTCTCCCTCTCACTTTCCCTTTCTTCTTTCATTTTTCTTTTTGTTCTTCCTCACTCCCTTGCTTCTTTCCTTCTTCTCTACCTCCCTCCTTCTCTCCCTTCCTTCCTTCCTTCCTTCCTTCTTTCCTTCCTTCCTTCCTTCCTTCCTTCCTTGCTTCCTTCCTTCCTTGCTTCCTTCCTTCCTTCCTTCCTTCCTTCCTTCCTTCCTTCCTTCCTTCCTTCCTTCCTTCCTTCCTTTGATTTTTTTCTGGTCATGGGCCCAGAACTCTGGGCCTGGGCGCTGTCCCTCAGCTCAAGGCTCAAGGCTAGCGCTCTACCACTTGAGCCACAGTGCCACTTCCGGCTTTTTTCTTTTTTGCTTATGTGGTGCTGAGAAATCAAACCCAGGACCTCATGCATGCAAGGCAAGCACTCTACCACTGAGCCACCTTCCCAGCTCCCCTTCCTTCTTTCCTTCTTTCCTTCCTTCCTTCCTAGATAAGGAGATGGTATTTGGATTTAAACTCTGAGTCTTTCCACTCTTAAGAAAATCCTCCACCTCTAGAGTCCTTTCTGTAGTTCTTTTGCTTTGATTTTTAAAGATGAATTCTTGTTTTTTCCTAGGATGGGACTTGAACAATGACTGTCACACCTCTGCCTCCTGCAGAGATGGGAATATAGATACATTTGACCTCAACGAACATTTTTTTGCCTAGGTTGTACCAAAATGCAAATATCCTATCTCTGTTTCCCAAAGTTAGCTGGGATTACAGGCGTGAGCCAGTGAATCCAGCCTGCTCTTTCATCAGTCATAAAAGCCTGATTAGAATCTCACCTTTCAAACACACTTGCCTAACATTCATCATGACCAATTATTTCTTGGGTTTCTTGGTCTTGTGACACATAACCACAAACTTAAGCATACATCCATCTGTCCTTTGAGAAGTGTTGCACCTTTCTCAGTTTACAGTTTCAGCTCTCTGAGAAAATATGCATAGCAGGCTACAATAATCTCCTCAGCCTTATGCCAAATCACTTAATTCCACCCAGAATGAACTCCAATACCAGCTTCCACTTGAACCAGCAAGCCTGAGCACAGACCTCACGATGTCTGTAATGAAACTTGGAGCAATTTAAAGGCAAAGGATTTAATATCTTTGGTTATTTAATGCTTCTTGAATTACAAGATTATATCCTCAAAACTACACCATAAATTGTAGATATTGCAACTCAAGAATGCCTTTAATATACACATAATCCACCAAACATAGAGGCTGAACCACACAGCACACTCCAGTGTATGCATCAGGTGTTCTGGAATCCCGTGGCTGACTGGGAAATCCTGCTCACTGTTTCTGCTCAGCAAGCATGTAAAAAGAGCATGGGATAGCCCATAGGGCTAGCCTGGGGAAAAGCCAAGATTCTAAATGCCTAGCCTTGTTTGTGCAAATTGTGCTTTGCCTCCACCCCATCATAATTTACAGAATTGTCAGTTGAAAGATGAGAAGCTGGGGATCATCTGCATAATTAAAATCTAGCCCAAGCAAAAGGCAGATCCTACACAGGGCCTATGGTGGTGTAATTTTAATGTATGTTTGGGCACAATCGTTGATCATTAGCTAAAGCTGGGTAGGTTTATTTCTAGGCTATTCTCTTCCATTCGTTCCCATTTCATCCCATCACATCACATTGTTGTGATTGTTTTGTGACAATACAGCGCTATTCTTTGTCACCATAGCTCGCTATTATAACCTGAAGTCAGGTATTATGATAACTTCAAAAATGCTCATTTTGTTTAAGACCACTGTGGTCATATGAGGTCTTCTGTGATTCTGTGTTAATTTTAGGATTGATGTTGCTATTTTTGTAAAAAGTGTCAATGGAGCAATAGGGCTTCAGGGAAGTAAGAAAGATGAATGCAGAGAGGGAGGCTGGGTGAACACAGTTACAATACTCAGTGTACATACATAGAAATGGAACTAGATAAGTTGAAGGGGATGGGTGGGGTAGGGTGTTGTGGGGAGAGGATAGAAATGTGTGACATTGATCAAGATGCATAATACTCATAAACCAACATAGGGAATCTTTTTCTAAAGAAATTAAAAAATAATAAATACGTACATTTCACATTAACCTTTGGGATACAGGCATATCAGTTCTAAGAGGGTTTATAGCTCTGAACACCTACATGTTCTCCTATGTGGCTCACCCCTGAAATTTTAGGTACTCAGGAGGCTGAGAACTGTTTACCACAATCAAGATATGGAATCAGCCAGATGCCCCTAGATGGACAAATGGATTGAGAACTTTGCCCCTTTTGTACTAGAAATTGCCATAAAGAAAATCTTCGATGTTCTTTGTATGGCAGTAGATTTTAGGACTCTTCAAAATGGTACCCAGATAA